ACAGATGGACATCAAGGACCCAAAAACACTGAGGGTGGCTAAGGCTATCCACAAACGCTACATTGAGAATTACGGCGTCGTGTCCAAACAGCTGAAGCCTCCAACCAAAGTTTTCATCCGGGACTCCATCAAGAAGCAGCAGATTGATTCCACCATGTTTGACCAAGCTCAAGCAGAGATCCAGGCGATGATGGAGGACAACGCTTACCACATGTTCCTCACCTCCGATATATACCTCGAATACGTCAGGACTGGAGGAGAGAACACAGCTTACTTCAACAACATGGGACCCGGGAGCTTAAAACTAGTTAGCGGCTATCTGCCCACTTTAAATGAGGAGGAAGAACTGAACTGTGTGGACCTAAAACACAAGGGCTCACCATCGGTGGTGGCTCTATCCAGCAAATCTTTGAGGGCTACTGCAAATTCCCGAGCCAAGGAGGCCATGGACCACTGCTACAGGTAGGACTCAGCTTTCTCGTGTCTTCTCCCCTTCACCACGTGTAGTGTGTTCTTCATGGAATCATAGGGATGTTGTGTATCTTCGTTCTGTGCTAATGAGTGATGTCAAGTTGTAGTTCTCCTCTGTGAACTAATTTGCTATCAATAATTTGTTGTGGTGGTATATGGAGCTTTATGGGTGGCTACGTCTCCGTTTTCGCTTGACTGTTTCTGCTTTGAATGATGGTGACAGTTACAGTACTTGTCCTAGTTCTCCTGATGCTGGTGACCAGACGTGGACTGTAGATCCATTCAGTGTTGTCTTCGTCTATCATTCACAGAGTATCTTATGGAAAGAATGGCTTTAGTTGCCGTTGACGGACTACTACCTATCGCAATACTCACTACCTCGGTATTCATTAACCTGATATTCTGATTGTTTTGGTTTTCATTTTTCAAACTTAGGTCAGGAGAACGTTTTTTTTTTTTAGGCTTGGCCCTGGACGCTGTTCCAGGATCTGAGTTGCATGCTGAGTCCTAAGTTTGTCTTGAAGGTCGTGTCTTTTTGCCTAAATTGAGGTCAACAGCCAATGGTGAGCGTGTGTGTGGAGTTAGGTGACCCCGGTTATATGAGTATGTGCACAGCTGGTACCCTGCTCACCCCAGGTGACCCTCAATGGGAGATGCTCACTAGGTGGAGGACATCGCCCTCTGCTGACTCAGCTTGCACCTACACCATCAGGGAGACCGCCAATGACCACGTTGGGATGCCATGGCACGCTACATCAGTGGGAGGACTGATGATTGATCTGACCGTATATTATTAGTGTTGTGATATTATGACCTGGCCATCAGCAATACCAATCATTGTCACAAAGAGTATTGTATACTGATATAGTCTGTATTTTTATGGATTTAGAGATCTGCAGAACATCGCTCCCTCCCATCCCCCTCCTGACAGATCAATATTGATATATTCTGCAGAGTTTTCCATCAGTAGCTCAGTTTTTGGAAATAATTGTTCCCAGGACCTCCACCATTTCCTGATCACCTGACTTGTGCAATAGAGGTTGTCCTGTGTCCTATGATTCCAGTTCTCATGTTGTGGTGGTTGAAGGGTTAACGCATGTAAGCTGGAGGTTAATTGAAAGGAATGTCTTGGCTTTGAAGTTGGATGACTGGGAAGAAGATCCCCTCTGATCTGGAGTCATATAATGGATACAGTCTGTCCTTCTAGCCGACCATTCTATTATGGCAGCACAGATGAAAGTCCCACTTTTCATCATCAGATGTGCAGAGTTCAGGGGAAGGGCCCCGGGTATCCTATCTGTACCCTACGGGGCCCCGTGGAGGAGAGCTTACATGCTTGTCCTGGCTTGGGACTCCAATATAGGTTCATTCAGGAAGATAAAGCTTTTCATTCTGACATCATAATTATTATTATACATATATATAGCTCTGACATATACCGCAGCGCTGTACAGAGCACACTAAGCCAGTCCCATCAGTCTCTGTACCAGAGGAGCTTACACTCCCCCTCCCCCACAGTCCCATCAGTCTCTGTACCAGAGGAGCTTACACTCTAATGTCCCCTCCCCCCCACAGTCACATCAGTCTCTGTACCAGAGGAGCTTACACTCTAATGTCCCCTCCCCCCACAGTCACATCAGTCTCTGTACCAGAGGAGCTTACACTCTAATCCCCTCCCCCACAGTCCATCAGTCTCTGTACCAGAGGAGCTTACACTCTAATGTCCCCTCCCCCACAGTCACATCAGTCTCTGTACAGAGGAGCTTACACTCTAATGTCCCCTCCCCCACAGTCACATCAGTCTCTGTCACATCAGTCACATCTCTGTACCAGAGGAGCTTACACTCTAATGTTCCCCTCCAGAGGAGCTTACACTCTAGTCACTCCCCCACAGTCCCATCAGTCTCTGTACCAGAGGAGCTTACACTCTAATGTCCCCTCCCCCACAGTCCCATCAGTCTCTGTACCAGAGGAGCTTACACTCTAATGATCCCCTCCCCCACAGTCACATCAGTCTCTGTACCAGAGGAGCTTACACTCTAATGTTCCCCCCCACAGTCACATCAGCCTCTGTACCAGAGGAGCTTACACTCTAATGTTCCCCCATACCTGTACAGGCACAGACTAGGGCCAGCCTGGTTGGATGTGGCTCTCCAAGTTGTTGGGATGTGGCCGAGTATCAGAGTCAGAGAAGGAAACCCACCAACATGGGAAAAACATCCAACCATAGATAGAGAAGTGATGGAAGTTGCAACAAGAACCCTGGTGCTGTGATGCCACAAGTTCCGGTGTCTGCAGTTCACTGGGCAATGAAACTTCTGAAGAGACTTTTTCAGGATCTCCAGGAGACATAATAATTGTCTCATCTCATGTCATTATTAGATCTGAGCTGACCTGGAGGACTATTTATGGAAAAATGGTGCCATAGAAGCCGAGGGTGATGTAGTGTTAGTAGCCATGTCATGGGGTTTGTTTATTGGTAGAACTTCAGAAATGTCCTCCTTTGTTTTCATTATAACACCACAACCTAAAATGCCATCAAACAGAAGAGATCTCTGAGGTTCTCCTGATTTCTGAGCAAGGATTCCTCTCCACCTCCATCAGAACGGAGCTGGACTGAGATCTGTCTGTTGAACATATACATCCTTCCTCACTCTTCCTCATCTTTCTCCATCCTTCCTCAACCTTCCTCATCTTTCTCCATCCTTCCTCAACCTTCCTCATCTTTCTCCATCCTTCCTCAACCTTCCATGTCCTTCCACAACCTTCCTCAACCTTTCTCAGCCTTCCACAACCTTCCACATCCTTCTTCATCCTTCCATATCCTTCTACAACCTCCCTCATCTTTCCTCATCCTTCCTCATCTTTCCTCAACCTTCCTCAACCTTCCTCAACCTTCCTCATCCTTCCTTCCTTCCTTCTCCATCCATCCTCATCCATCCTCATCCTTCCTCATCCTTCCTCCTTCCTCATCCTCCTCATCCATCCTCATCCTTCCTCATCTTCCTCATCCTTTCTCAGCCTCCACATCCTTCCTCATCCTCCTCATCCTTCCTTATCCTTCCTCATCCATCCTCATCCTTCCTCATCTTCCTCATCTTCATCATCCTTTCTCAGCCTTCCTCAGCCTTCCTCATCCTTCCTCAACCTTCCTTATCTTTCCTCATCCTTCCTCAACCTTCCTTCCTCATCTTTCCTCATCCTTCCTCATCTTTCCTCATGTTCCTCATCCTTCCGACTCACCTTCCACATCCTTCCCTATCCTTCTCATCCCTCCTCATCCTTCCTCAACCCTCCTAATCTTTCCTCAACCCTTTCCTCATCTTCCTCAACCCTCCTCATCTTTCCTCAACCTTCCTCATCCTTCTCAACCCTCCTTTTCCTTCCTCAACCCTTCCTCATCTTTCTAATCCTTCCTTATGGGAAGAACCTTCCCTCTTTCCTTTTCTTTCCCAAGTGGGAAGAATGTCCCTTACATTGGGGGTCAGTGGGAAGAATGTCCCTTACATTGGGGGTCAGTGGGAAGAATGTCCCTTACATTGGGGGGGTCAGTGGGAAGAATGTCCCTTACATTGGGGGTCAGTGGGAAAATGTCCCTTACATTGGAGGTCAGTGGGAAGAATGTTCCTTACATTGGGGGTCAGTGGGAAGAATGTCCCTTACATTGGGGGTCAGTGGGAAGAATGTCCCTTACATTGGTGATCAGTGGGAAGAATGTCCCTTACATTGGTGTCAGTGGGAAGAATGTCCCTTACATTGGGGGTCAGTGGGAAGAATGTCCCCTTACATTGGTGGTCAGTGGGAAGAATGTCCCTTACATTGGGGGTCAGTGGGAAGAATGTCCCTTACATTGGTGGTCAGTGGGAAGAATGTCCCTTACATTGGGGGGTCAGTGGGAAGAATGTCCCTTACATTGGGGGTCAGTGGGAAGAATGTCCCTTACATTGGGGGTCAGTGGGAAGAATGTCCCTTACATTGGGGGTCAGTGGAAGAAGAATGTCCCTTACATTGGGGGTCAGTGGGATGAAATGTCCCTTACATTGGGGGTCAGTGGGAAGAATGTCCCTTACATTGGGGGTCAGTGGGAAGAATGTCCCTTACATTGGGGGTCAGTGGGAAGAATGTCCCTTACATTGGGGGTCAGTGGGAAGAATGTCCCTTACATTGGGGTCAGTGGGAAGAATGTCCCTTACATTGGGGGTCAGTGGGAAGAATGTCCCTTACATTGGGGGTCAGTGGGAAGAATGTCCCTTACATTGGGGGTCAGTGGGAAGAATGTCCCTTACATTGGGGGTCAGTGGGAAGAATGTCCCTTACATTGGGGGTCAGTGGAAGAATGTCCCTTACATTGGGGGTCAGTGGGAAGAATGTCCCTTACATTGGGGTCAGTGGGAAGAATGTCCCTTACATTGGGGGTCAGTGGGAAGAATGTCCCTTACATTGGGGGTCAGTGGGAAGAATGTCCCTTACATTGGGGGTCAGTGGGAAGAATGTCCCTTACATTGGGGGTCAGTGGGAAGAATGGAAGAATGTCCCTTACATTGGGGGTCAGTGGGAAGAATGTCCCTTACATTGGGGGTCAGTGGGAAGAATGTCCCTTACATTGGGGGTCAGTGGGAAGAATGTCCCTTACATTGGGGGGTCAGTGGGAAGAATGTCCCTTACATTGGTGGTCAGTGGGAAGAATGTCCCTTACATTGGGGTCAGTGGGAAGAATGTCCCTTACATTGGGGGTCAGTGGGAAGAATGTCCCTTACATTGGGGGTCAGTGGGAAGAATGTCCCTTACATTGGGGGTCAGTGGGAAGAATGTCCCTTACATTGGGGGTCAGTGGGAAGAATGTCCCTTACATTGGGGGTCAGTGGGAAGAATGTCCCTTACATTGGGGGTCAGTGGGAAGAATGTCCCTTACATTGGGGGTCAGTGGGAAGAATGTCCCTTACATTGGGGTGGTCAGTGGGAAGAATGTCCCTTACATTGGGGGTCAGTGGGAAGAATGTCCCTTACATTGGGGGTCAGTGGGAAGAATGTCCCTTACATTGGGGGTCAGGGAAGAATGTCCCTTACATTGGGGGTCAGTGGGAAGAATGTCCCTTACATTGGGGGTCAGTGGGAAGAATGTCCCTTACATTGGGGGTCAGTGGGAAGAATGTCCCTTACATTGGGGGTCAGGTGGGAAGAATGTCCCTTACATTGGGGGTCAGTGGGAAGAATGTCCCTTACATTGGGGGTCAGTGGGAAGAATGTCCCTTACATTGGGGGTCAGTGGGAAGAATGTCCCTTACATTGGGGGGTCAGTGGGAAGAATGTCCCTTACATTGGGGGTCAGTGGGAAGAATGTCCCTTACATTGGGGGTCAGTGGGAAGAATGTCCCTTACATTGGGTGGGTCAGTGGGAAGAATGTCCCTTACATTGGGGGTCAGTGGGAAGAATGTCCCTTACATTGGGGGTCAGTGGGAAGAATGTCCCTTACATTGGTGGTCAGTGGGAAGAATGTCCCTTACATTGGGGGTCAGTGGGAAGAATGTCCCTTACATTGGGGGGTCAGTGGGAAGAATGTCCCTTACATTGGGGGTCAGTGGGAAGAATGTCCCTTACATTGGGGGTCAGTGGGAAGAATGTCCCTTACATTGGGGGGTCAGTGGGAAGAATGTCCCTTACATTGGTGGTCAGTGGGAAAGAATGTCCCTTACATTGGGGGTCAGTGGGAAGAATGTCCCTTACATTGGGGGTCAGTGGGAAGAATGTCCCTTACATTGGGGGTCAGTGGGAAGAATGTCCCTTACATTGGGGGTCAGTGGGAAGAATGTCCCTTACATTGGGGGGTCAGTGGGAAGAATGTCCCTTACATTGGGGGGGTCAGTGGGAAGAATGTCCCTTACATTGGGGGTCAGTGGGAAGAATGTCCCTTACATTGGGGGTCAGTGGGGAAGAATGTCCCTTACATTGGGGGTCAGTGGGAAGAATGTCCCTTACATTGGGGGTCAGTGGGAAGAATGTCCCTTACATTGGGGGGAAGAATCAGTGGTGAAGAATGTCCCTTACATTGGGGGTCAGTGGGAAGAATGTCCCTTACATTGGGGGTCAGTGGGAAGAATGTCCCTTACATTGGGGGTCAGTGGGAAGAATGTCTTACATTGGGGGTCAGTGGGAAGAATGTCCCTTACATTGGGGGTCAGTGGGAAGAATGTCCCTTACATTGGGGGGGTCAGTGGGAAAGAATGTCCCTTACATTGGGGGTCAGTGGGAAGAATGTCCCTTACATTGGTGGGTCAGTGGGAAGAATGTCCCTTACATTGGGGTCAGTGGGAAGAATGTCCCTTACATTGGGGGTCAGTGGGAAGAATGTCCCTTACATTGGGGGGTCAGTGGGAAGAATGTCCCTTACATTGGGGGGTCAGTGGGAAGAATGTCCCTTACATTGGGGGTCAGTGGGAAGAATGTCCCTTACATTGGGGGTCAGTGGGAAGAATGTCCCTTACATTGGGGGTCAGTGGGAAGAATGTCCCTTACATTGGGGGTCAGTGGGAAGAATGTCCCTTACATTGGGGGTCAGTGGGAAGAATGTCCCTTACATTGGGGGTCAGTGGGAAGAATGTCCCTTACATTGGGGGTCAGTGGGAAGAATGTCCCTTACATTGGGGGTCAGTGGGAAGAATGTCCCTTACATTGGGGGTCAGTGGGAAGAATGTCCCTTACATTGGGGGTCAGTGGGAAGAATGTCCCTTACATTGGGGTCAGTGGGAAGAATGTCCCTTACATTGGGGGTCAGTGGGAAGAATGTCCCTTACATTGGTGGTCAGTGGGAAGAATGTCCCTTACATTGGGGGTCAGTGGGAAGAATGTCCCTTACATTGGGGGTCAGTGGGAAGAATGTCCCTTACATTGGGGGTCAGTGGGAAGAATGTCCCTTACATTGGGGGTCAGTGGGAAGAATGTCCCTTACATTGGTGGTCAGTGGGAAGAATGTCCCTTACATTGGTGGTCAGTGGGAAGAATGTCCCTTACATTGGGGGTCAGTGGGAAGAATGTCCCTTACATTGGGGGGTCAGTGGGAAGAATGTCCCTTACATTGGGGGAAGATCAGTGGGGGTCAAGAATGTCCCTTACATTGGGGGTCAGTGGGAAGAATGTCCCTTACATTGGGGGTCAGTGGGAAGAATGTCCCTTACATTGGGGGTCAGTGGGAAGAATGTCCCTTACATTGGGGTCAGTGGGAAGAATGGGGGTCAGTCCCTTACATTGGGGGTCAGTGGGAAGAATGTCCCTTACATTGGTGGTCAGTGGGAAGAATGTCCCTTACATTGGGGGGTCAGTGGGGAAGAATGTCCCTTACATTGGGGGTCAGTGGGAAGAATGTCCCTTACATTGGGGGTCAGTGGGAAGAATGTCCCTTACATTGGTGGTCAGTGGGAAAGAATGTCCCTTACATTGGGGGTCAGTGGGAAGAATGTCCCTTACATTGGGGGTCAGTGGGAAGAATGTCCCTTACATTGGGGGTCAGTGGGAAGAATGTCCCTTACATTGGTGGTCAGTGGGAAGAATGTCCCTTACATTGGGGGTCAGTGGGAAGAATGTCCCTTACATTGGTGGTCAGTGGGAAGAATGTCCCTTACATTGGGGGTCAGTGGGAAGAATGTCCCTTACATTGGGGGTCAGTGGGAAGATGTCCCTTACATTGGGGGTCAGTGGGAAGAATGTCCCTTACATTGGTGGTCAGTGGGAAGAATGTCCCTTACATTGGGGGTCAGTGGGAAGAATGTCCCTTACATTGGGGGTCAGTGGGAAGAATGTCCCTTACATTGGGGGTCAGTGCCGGTCAATGCCGGTCCAGCTGGTTACTTTGGGTTGCTGACAATATGGCGTCATGTTGGGTAGGAGATAAATGGGGGGTGTTTTTCTTTGGGTACTTCCTGTTCAGTATTGGTATAGCACCAACATAGTCCGCAGCGCTGTACATAGCACATAGATTGGATATGGAGGTGTTGGGATCAAACAGGGAGATGTGGATATCCATGTGCAGGCCAGTCAGTGCTGAGTATCTGTGTCATCTCGTGGATAACAAAGGGTTAAAGTGGGGCGACGTTCAGTGACATGTTCTGTGTTGTGTCCCGCAGGGCGTACAAGAGGAGTGACCCCGTCAACCCGTACCACGTCAGCTCTGGATTCGTCTTTGCACCGGCCGCCAGCACCAATGAGAGCGAAGTGTGTCCAGCGACGCCATGACGGACGACTCCATGTCCATGACAGACAGCAGTGTGTAAGTGGCCTGTCAGCTGTCAGCTGTGGACTCTCCTGGGGGGAGCGGGGTGGACTCTCCTGGGGGGATGGGGGGAGCGGGGTGGACTCTCCTGGGGGGAGCGGGGTGTACTCTCCTGGGGGGGAGCAGGGTGTACTCTCCTGGGGGTGTACTCCTGTGTGTGTCACTTCAAGGATACTTCAAGAGCCTGGCTGTAGGTAACAAGCATTTGATGCAGAGATCCTCTGACAGTCTCATGTTTCTTCCGAAGTCCTCAGACCGGTTGATGGTCTCGGAGGTGGGAGATGAAGTGAGCCGGTAGCAGCGTCCCCCCCGGCTGTCGGCGTTTGAGGAGACCCTCTGCTGCGGACAATGGCTGATTAAAGCGCCAGGGGGCCAAACTACAAAGCGTTGGCAAATCCAGAGCCCCCCCCCCCCGTGTGGGTGACAACCATACCATGGGGCCCCCCTTCCTCCATCAATCTCAGCCACCTCTGCCCGGTGTCCAGTCCTGTCCTCCAACCCCCACCGTGGCCATGTTCACCGTCTCTCCCGCCCCTCGTGGCAGCGCTGCGACTTTCTGTTCTTCGCCCCCCCGCCGTTCTCCAGGGCGAATCGTTCCCTAATTATTGGTCCTCTTTCCATACAGCGCAGTGTTTTATTCGGGGGCCCCTCCCCCTCCTCGAGCGTCGGACGCCAAGGGAAACGGAGCGCATTGAACTTCAAACATCACCTTATCTTACAAACCAGCCTTTTGATGTGCGTGAGATCACAGCGCCGTTACCCAGCCCCCGCCAAACCGACACGCCGCTGAGTACATCGGCAACCCAATCCTCGGTCAAAGCCGCTGCGCAACTATTTCTGTCCGCGGACGGGCGCGCAGCGTCTGACGTAAGGGAACGTCCTGTCCGGGAATGTCACCCGCTGCACACCCCAAAGTGCCAATCAAAAAATGTTCCCTCCTGTAAAACGCCCGACGGGCGGGAAAGGGGGGCTTGCTGAGACTTTTAGTTCCCCGGCTGTTGGAAAGTCGTACCGCGCTCAGCTGGCCTTTAGACCCCAACGTGGCGGCCTGCGACCCGGGAAATCCTCGGGACCATTCCCTCTGTACATGGGATGGAGTGATGGGAACGCAGTGTGACCAGTGCGCCCTCTGCTGGTGAACATGGGTATAGCTCAGTGACAATTCTCTCTTCCTATATATGGGGTATTACTGCAAACTACGACAGCCAATCGACAGTCTGTAATAAACAAGACAGCACTGCTGTGATTGGTTGGAGGTTTTCTGCCATAGTGAGTAACCCCCCCTCAGGTCACTTGGGGGGGGTCACACGTGTTGGGTCCCTCGGGGTCTCACAGCGAGTATATAGAACAACATTGTTCTGAGCATTATATAAGGTGAGCCTGTGATGGGTGCTCCCATTGATGAGTGTCTGCAGGTTCCGGGCCTGAACCCCTGAGAACTCCTGTCCAGCTCAACCAATCACAAAGCTCTGAGCTCAGGATGGCAGCGGCAATGGCGGCCCTTTTGTTTACCCCCCAATAAAGGAACATACAGTCAGGTCCATAAATATTGGGACATGGACACAATTCTAACATTTTTGGCTCTATACACCACAATGGATTTGAAATGAAAGAACAAGATGTGCTTTACCTGCAGACTGTCAGCTTTAATTTGAGGGTATTTACATCCAAATCAGGTGAACGGTGTAGGAATTACAACAGTTTGCATATGTGCCTCCCACTTGTTAAGGGACCAAAAGTAATGGGACAGAATAATAATCATAAATCAAACTTTCACTTTTTAATACTTGGTTACAAATCCTTTGCAGTCAATGACAGCCTGAAGTGTGGAACGCATAGACATCACCAGACGCTGGGTGTCATCCCTGGTGATGCTCTGCCAGGCCTTTACTACAACTGTCTTCAGTTCCTGCTTGTTCTTGGGGCATTTTCCCTTCAGTTTTGTCTTCAGCAAGTGAAATGCTCAATCGGATTCAGGTCAGGTGATTGGCCATTGCAGAACATTCCACTTCTTTGGTGTCTTTTGCAGTCTGCTTTGGGTCATTGTCCATCTGCACTGTGAAGCGTCCAATGAGTTGTGAAGCATTTGGCTGAATATGAGCCGATAATATTCCCGAAACACTTCACAATTCATCCGGCTGCTTCTGTCAGCCGTCACACATCATCAATAAATACAAGAGAAGCAGTTCCATTGGCAGCCATACATGCCCACGCCATGACACTACCACCACCATGATCACTGATGAGGTGGTATGCTTAGGACCATGAGCAGTTCCTTCTCCATACTCTTCTCTTCCCCATCACTCTGGTACAAGTTGATGTCGGTCTCATCTGTCCATAGGATGTTGTTCCAGAACTGTGAAGGCTTTTTTACATGTCGTTTGGCAAACTCTAATCTGGCCTTCCTGTGTTTGAGGCTCACCAATGGTTTCCATCTTGTGGTGAACCCTCTGTATTCACTCTGGTGAAGTCTTCTCTGATTGGTGACTTTGACACACATACACCTACCTCCTGGAGAGTGTTCTTGATCTGGCCAACTGTTGTGAAGGGTGTTTTCTTCACCAGGGAAAGAATTCTTTGCTCATCCACCACAGTTGTTTTCCGTGGTCTTCCGGGTCTTTTGGTGTTGCTGGGCTCACCGGTGCGTTCCTTCTTTTTAAGAATGTTCCAAACAGTTGTTCTGGCCACGCCTAATGTTTTTGCTATCTCTCTGATGGGTTTGTTTTGTTTTTTCAGCCTAATGATGGCTTCACTGATAGTGACAGCTCTTTGGGTCTCATCTTGAGAGTTGACAGCAACAGATTCCAAATGCAAATAGCACACTTGAAATGAACTCTGGACCTTTTATCTGCTCATTGTAATTGGGATAATGAGGGAATAACACACACCTGGCCATGGAACAGCTGAGAAGCCAATTGTCCCATTACTTTTGGTCCCTTAACAAGTGGGAGGCACATATGCAAACTGTTGTAATTCCTACACCGTTCACCTGATTTGGATGTAAATACCCTCAAATTAAAGCTGACAGTCTGCAGTTAAAGCACATCTTGTTCCTTTCATTTCAAATCCATTGTGGTGTATAGAGCCAAAAATGTTAGAATTGTGTCCATGTCCCAATATTTATGGACCTGACTGTATGCGCCAGCACACCATGGATCCCAAAATACGGTCCAAAGAGGTTTTCATTGCAGAAGGATCCGTCACAGAGGAAAGTGCAACGTTACGGACCCACGCAGGACCCCTTCATCAGGTATGTGATCACATGTCTGCCACAGGGGTCCTGCGTGGCTCTGGAGCATTGCTCTGTGACGGATCCTTCTGCAATGAAATCCTCTGTGCTGGAGAACGTCCGTTTATTTGTGGCGTCTCTGCAGCACCGCTATTGAAGGGCCCCATTTCCAGGAACCTGTGTGATGGGAATACAGACCTTTACCATGACAGGTCCCCTTTATGGAACAAACAGCAGCTCTGCCATTAGTCTGCATCTGTCTCTGCGCAGACTCTGGAAGTATCCGTTATATGTCAGGAAGGATCAATACACCATCAATAGGTCCCACTGT